ATATGCACGGAAAACAAAACATATTGTCTATCGCGTGGGCGCGGGGAACACAACCCTAAGGTAGCCAAATCAATGAGACTAAGAGCTAACACGAGAGAGAGAGAGAGTTTTGTTTCATTTATTGTTATGAGTGTGAGAGAGAAAAAAAAATAGAGAGAGAGGGAGAGGGGGGCCTACCAGAGAGGGAGAGAGAGGGGTGGGGAGGGACTACAGAGAGAGAGAGAGAGAGAGAGAGAGAGAGAGAGAGAGAGAGAGAGAGAGAGTCAGTGGGGATCACGATGTGGAGGGGGACAGCCGCAAGGGGAAGATGGAATGAGAGGCGAACAACAAGAGGACGAGGATCACCAGAGAGAGAGAGAGAGAGAGAGAGAGAGAGACTGAATGGAAAAATTGAAATATGGGTCAAATAGCGGCCGCGATCTATTTTGCAGTTGGAATAATTTTTTAAGGTGTCTTCGTTGTTCGGAGGAGCTGGCTGCTTTTCACTTGTCTTTCTTGTGAGTTGCTCTAGTGTCTTGAGAACTTTGTCCATCTCTCGGCATAGCTTAAAGATTTCTTCTTTTAGATCCGCCGTAAACCACACTCGATTTCCCGGTGGGGGGAAATCATTCCGTCTTTGCTCCCACAATGGTCTCGAGAACCATCTTGGAGATTCTGACTCCGCCCTTCTTCTCCGTGACGATGGTGATCTTGACTTATGTCTTCATTTCTCGGAGTTTTCGATCTCTCCCTTCTTGAGCGCTTCCTACCTTGAGATTCGGAAGATGATGATGAGTGTCTGTGCCGCCTCCTGTCCGACGATGATCGTGAACGCGACATCTTCCTTGAAGCTTGGGAACGTCAGGTAGGTAGTCTTCGTACTTGAAATCGATACAAAACCCCACAACGTCGTTGATCGTCTTCAGTACACACCAGATAAGTAAAATAGAATCTTTAAAAATCGCTGAGTAATCTCCACGCTATAGTAATCTCTAACAAATTGCCACTATGATATCATGAAAGAAAAAAGTTATGAATGATGAGAGAGAGATAAAGACAGTGAATGTAAAATGGAAGAGTGACAGGTTTATACAGTGCCAATCATCGCGGGTACCGCCCGCAAGTTTTAAGCACCGTGCGTAGAGATAAACATATGCAAATGTAGACAAAACGTTCGAGGTTTTACTTTCACAGCATACACATGCAAATGTAGACAGAACGTGCGAGGTTTTACTTTCAGAGCACACACGTAATGTCCATGGCATGCGACACCAGTCACGATTACCCTTCTACCTCACTGCTCAGGTAATCATTTCAGTAACTATCCTCAGTATTAATACCCTTCGTTCCCATTCCTTCTCCGCCACTTTCCCTATCTTTGCAGTGTACTCATCATCTATCCTCAGGATCTCCCGTAGTCGCTCTCTGTGTTGTCCTTGTCGTCATCGATTTTCAACATGCCTTCAATCTGAAGCTACTTTCATCATATCTAATGATTATGTGCGTGCTACTCACGTACTCTCCTCTCTGTCGGAGTTTCGTCTTACTGTGGTACTTGTCTATAACTCCGCTGTTTTTTTTATACTGACTCGAATCTGGCCTTGTTTGTTGTTCTGTTCTTGTTTACTTTCATGGGCATGAGATTTCCTTCATTTCCAGGTGAGTACTTTTTCTTTATTGGTTCGTTTTTACTGCTTTAGGTCTTTCATCTTCTATCTGTTTCGTATGTTTGGAAATGTGAGTGAGACTGTTACGTCGTTATATCTGCAGAAATTCCATGATATTCTGGAGTACTTAGTCGTGTATGTTTCTTTTTCGTCCCTAAAAAATTATTTTCATTCCGTGCAAAATTATATTTTTGATTTTTGATTTTTGATTTTTCGATTTGTGATCTTAGCTTTATATTCCGAGTCGTGTGAATTTCTTGACGTATTTTATTCCGGACTTTCAGTTTTATATTTGTCGATTTGGTGCTTCTTGTTTTTTTAGGTACTCCTGCAATTTATTTCGGACGTCCGCGTCCCTGCAGTTTCGAATGAACGCAAGTATCGCGGCGCGGGTTATCCTCCATGGGTAATCCATGAGTCGGAGTTCCCGTCCGAACAGGTCAATCACGGGCGGTAGATCCGTCATCTTGTATGTGTTAGCTACCATTCGATGAAAAGTTCCGATAATCGTCAAGGTCTTGGTTCTCTCAGAACCCGCACTCCTGAAGTGACGCAACGTCCAGAGAGAGAGAGAGAGAGAGAGAGAGAGAGAGAGAGAGAGAGAGAGAGGTATCGAGAGAGAGAGAGAGAGAGAGAGTGGCAAAATTGAAATATGGGTCAAATTGCGGCCGCAATCTATTTCGCAGTTGGAATGATTTTTCAAATATATGTAGCGTTTGTCCTGGAAAGATCACAACAAAATTTACGAGTACTCCAATTTTCAGGTTTTTTCACGCATTCTTCTGAGCGCGAAAACTCACTGAATTTGGAGTACTTTTTTAGTTGGCTCTGGCATGGCTGAGTGGCAAAAATGGAAAATGTGCTGAATCGGCGCAATAATTATTTCGCAGTCTAAATGATTTTTCGTAAAATGTTCTATTATTATTTATGGAAAGAACATGACCTCATCTATGGATTCTCAAAATTTCAGATTTTTGTGCATGTTCGTCTGAGCACAGAAAATTGCCAAAGTTGCCTCTTGCAAAACGCCTATTTCGTTGTGCCTGACCTCCCTGTTTTGAGAAGACGGGGCTCAACGCCTGGGCCTGAGGGCCCTTTTGCAGATCACATGCCCTCACTTCTTTTTGGGGTCCGCTTCTACCCGAGTACCGGTCCAATGCCCCCACTTCTTTTTGGGGTCCACTTCCACCCGAGGACCGGTCCTTCGTTTTTCCAAAAGTCCCGGTTCTACCAGAGCTAGCTGTAGGTAGTCCGCAATTTTGCCAAGGACCGGTCCCCCATTTTTTTTTGCCCCTGAAAAACCCACTTGCGTCCTGGTCGCCCGCCGCCAAAAATGCGACACGCTGGAGCCCACTATACCGCAGCCTTAGGGCTGCGAATTGTGGCGAGGCCCTAACTCATATATGGGGCCTCGCTGCACTACTCTGGAAATGCACAAAAGACAAAACATATTCTAGCGGAAGATTCACTCTCGTTTTGCACCTTTCAAGAGTAGTGCAGCGAGGCCCATGGTCCTCCCTTCAGCACTCACTACATGCACTGAAGACAAAAACCATATGCACAGAAGACAAAACATATTGCGGTGTATCTTTGCAGGTTCCAGCGGAAGATTCGTTCTCATTGTGCACATTTGGCGAGTATTGTAGCGAGGCCTTCTGTGGGCCTCTCTCCACTACTCACCACATGCACAGAAGACAAAAAATATAGCGGTGTATCTTCCCATTTCTTAGCGGAAGATTCATTTCATTTTTCATTTCGTTTCGACAAATTTGGTGAGTAGTGGACCGAGGCCTTATGCCTACCTGCCTACCTAGATCTGAATTACGTTATGTACGTGGAGGCCTTAGACGACTGATAGGTAGATGTCGAACTGTCAATTCATCGATCGACGTGCAAAGAAGTGTGGGCCTCACTGTGTGCTGTGCCCTCGTAGCACCCATCGGTTCCGGTTGACGTGACGACAGCCAATCGTCTATCGGACGGCCGAAATCAAATGTTAAAGTTAGCGCAACAGTACTGCCATCCGATTCCTGCTATTGCTGCTATCTTTGCGAAACAATAGTCCCGTAGCCGTGGAGAGGCGGTCAGGGCCCCGCCTTCTCCAAATTTTCCAACTTTTCCAACGAACCGACAGCGGCGGTCGTTGGGCTCGTAGGTACGGTAACAGCTGTTAGGGGCGGGGAGTGAAAGCCGAGGCAGGTCTCCCGCCTTCACCCAACGAGGGAGACGAGGCGGGAAGCGGCGGAGAGGACGCAAGGGAACACTGCCTGTAGCACTCGAGTGGTAGAGGACTACGCGAAGGAGGGTGAGTTGCGTGTCAAGTCGAGCGCGCGTCCCCGGTCTCCTCATCGCCCCCCCTGCCTACGCTGCCCCGCTGCCACGTGGCTTGTGCTCCAGTCAGGTTATACTCTCTCGTGAACAACACGAAAAGCCCCCACAGGAGAGAGAGAGAGAGAGAGAGAGAGAGAGAGAGAGAGAGAGAGAGAGAGAGAGAGAGAGAGATCTGGTCCGTGGTGAGCAAATGCGAAGGTTGACGGGACGCGCGCAATGATCGGAAAAGGCGCGCAATGATCGGAAAAGGCGCGCAATGATCAAAACGGGCGCGCGATGATCGAGGTTTCATGGATCATTACAGCGCGCATTTTTTAGGACGTGCCCTGCGATCAGGTATCTGGTCGCAACGTGTTTGAATGAACAGGGCAGTTATCTGGACAGGGAACATAGATCTTTCGCTACCTCGACATGAAGGGATGAACTGCCCGGCTGCTCCTGCTGCATGGGCATCCACAACCACTCTGTCTAAAATGCAACAAGTCGAGACGAGCTAATCAAGCGCGTGTGCGCAAGCGCCGCTGACGGGGTTTCACTCGCAGACTCAGCGAGTAAGTTTAAGCGAGAGAGAGAGAGAGAGAGAGAGAGAGAGAGAGAGAGAGAGAGAGAGAGAGAGAGAGAGAGAGAGAGAGAGAGAGGGGGGGGGGGGGNGAGAGAGAGAGAGAGAGAGGGGGGGGGGGGGGGGGGGGGAGGAAAGCACGGATCCACGATGAGCACGAAAAGCACACGATGAGGACCGGAGAGAGAGGGGGGGGGGGGTCATGGAGGAGAGAGGTAAGCTGTGATGGAAGGGGAAGGTAGTGTTGGCACCGTAACGAGGAAAAGGAGAACCTTCAGGCATTTGCTAGCGGAAGAGAAGGAAGAGGAAGTGAGGAGGTTGAAATCGTCTTTATGCGAGATCGATCGGGCTCTCTTTTTCTCCTTCTCTCTCTCCCTCCCTCCCTCTCTCTCTCTGTCTTTCTTTTCCCTCGGTCATTTTTATAGCCTGAGCCTAGCTTATTGTAGCTGAGCTGCACTGGAGTCGTGCAACCGCAGCTGTTCGACTTGGTCCGCTGGCTTCTTCCAGAGCTCCGGCGATGGCGGTCCAAGTTAAAGAAGGATGGATGTTCACGTTTGGTCGCCACACTCTTGGCCGTAGATATTTGCATAAGAGGTACTTTGTCCTCGAGTCCAAGGTTCTAGCGTACTACAAGCGGAAACCAGCGGAGAATGATGTAAGTAAGACCTCTTCTTTTCACTTCTTCTTATTCTTCTTTCCCCATACTCCTACTGAAAGAATTCATCCAATCCTCATTAGTTCCTGATGCCGATCTTGATTGATTGGATCTTTGGCCATCATCTCTTTGGAACCTTCTTGGAACCTTCTTGGAACCGTCTTGGCATCTTTTCGGAAACTTGTTGCCCGCTTGACACTTAGCCTCACTTGACACTCAGTCTCATCTTGCCCGCCCCGGTTGTTACGAACCCTTACTTACCCTTCTTGGTCGATTTGATAGGTTTATCTGTTTGTTGCAGATCTGATCTGATTGTTTTTTGGTTCTCGTAGGTTGTAACTGTCGTTTGTGGAGTTTCTTTTGGTAGTTCATGCATGATTAACTCTGGGGGACACAGGACTGTTGTGGTGCTCTGACATTGCACATGCCGGGTGGGTATTCGGTTATGTGCCGTCGGGCGGGCGGTAGATTTGTGAGTGAGAGTGTGCGAGGGAAGATGTATGTGAGGAGAACCGGAGCTTGAACCGTGCTCGAGTGCTTCAGTGAGACGAGCCATGTGAGGAGCGCGATAGACAAATAGCAGAAGAATCGAGCACGTAGGGAGGAAGAGCCTACGCTGTGGAACGACATTGAAAAGAGCCTACGCTGTGGAACCACATTGAAGAGAGAGAGAGAGAGAGAGAGAGAGAGAGAGAGAGAGAGAGAGAGAGAGAGAGAGAGGTCCTTGCATCGCGCTGATAGGGATTCGCGATACGGTCCGCCGATCTGATCTCGTGATTTTCGCAAGTCGAAAGCAACTTCCGTGAAGTTTCGCGCGCATATTGTGTTTTGGGGCGCGCGCGCGTGAATATGTGTGTGTGTGTGTGTGTGTGTGAGAGAGAGAGAGAGAGAGAGAGAGAGAGAGAGAGAGAGAGAGAGAGAGAGAGAGAGAGAGAGAG